AAAGTGACCCGATCATGCTGATTTTCGAACTTGACCTGCGTATTATGAATATTCATCAGTTCTGCAAGTTTCAAGTCAAAAGGTAAAATGGTTTTCCACTTATCGTGTTATCGGTAAAAGTGCACGACGGCGACGACGGCGACGACGGCGACGACAGACGCAGATGATGGCTATATGTACAGACACATCTGTGTCTGTACATAAAAAGGTTAATCTAATGCTTAGAACTATTAAAATAACGATATATAATAAAAACATCATGCCCATTGTAGTGATACGTTTACAAAGATATTTATTTCGGAGTATCTACATGCTAAACGCCCCAATAAGTTATAAGATATTTTGTTCTGTCCTGGGTTGACATATTTCACCATATTGTGGTCTGTCGTGGCGTGTCCCCTTGCGTCCTGCGTGTATCACATATAATCTGAACAAGTGACAGTTGCAACCCCCCCGCACACGGTGAGCAATTGGCGCGCGCCACTTGCGCTGCGCCGTTTTCTCATCGTTTGCGGGGGTATTTTGGTGAGATCTTTGCCTCTCGCGCAGCTGAGCAAAATATTTTGGCCTCTTGAGGCAAATGGCTCAGCGTGTGCGGGGTGCAAGCGCCGATTGCTCAAGTCATGCCAACAATGCGCATGTGCCGCTAGCCGGAAACAGAAAAAAATGGCAGCCCCCTGCGATGTCAACAAATATACTTAGTCTAATTGATTAACGTGGTCACCATTTTCCATTACTTTAAAATGTAATCAATATGTAATGTTTCTTTAATCACATGATCCCACAGTTCACGGTGCGTCCGATAGGGGCAGGCCGGGAGGCACCTCTGTTGAGCAAAGAGCGCAGCGTTTGCGGGGAGCTGAGGAGTGCGAGCATCTGGGACATGACACCGAGCCATATGGCACACTGATGGTTCAGGTACTCCAAATTGGAGTGTATATCTCTGTACTCATTTGGTGCTTCGGTCTTGCAGGGTGCCATTATAAACAGGGCGTATCACGAATCGCACCCTACTTTAATCCAAACAATGGGAGCGTCAGGGGTGCTCCGCGAAAGGTAGGCCTACTCGGGACCGGTGTATCAGATTGGAACGACACAACATCTCAGTGTACCCTGGCAATGTTTGGCGGAGATGAGGCGGCCTACTGGGCCTGCAGGACAGAATACGCCTTTCAACAGAACTGGTGGCCATCTCCCATCGCAGGCTTGTTCAGCTACCAGGCACGTACATATGTACAGTCCTAATACGATCGAGCTATATAGGCTATATATACAGTAGCCTGAAACCATGCCGGGATAATTATACAGACTTTTTTTGCACGCTCGGGTGTCAGTTTGATTCAAGTAGCATATAAATTATTCAATATGCAAAACAAAGCTGTAATAATAATAATAATAATAATAATAATAATAATAATAATAGGTCGTTAAATGAATAGATAGGATATAATGAAATGAAACTAAAATAAGTGCATAGATAGATTGAAAAAATAATTAATAGGCTACTCCAAGCAAAATCGGTAATTTTTAATAAATTTATTAGATCTACATAAGATATTCTTTTTTAAAACATTTTTGAAGTTGAATTTTTTAAATTTATCCCTCGGCCCATTGTTTTTGATAACCAATTGCAAAAAGCGTTTATTTATGTCAAAATCAAATCGTAATCTATTTCCTTAATACTGTTTAAAGAAAATAATCAGTTTGATCATTTCTATTCTATTGTTTAGACATGGAATGGTTTTGACGGCTTCTGGCGAAATGGCGCCGTGCTTGAAGTTCTCACTAACTTCATGGCATTCGCCAACAACTCTCGCTATATCTCTGTAGTCCACAGTTCGTACAGAAACTTGTCTCAACTTCTGAGGGCTTACGGACCCCAACCATCGTACGACGATATGGCGTGGTATGGACTGAGTTTTGCAAGAATTGCTGAGGTAAGGGCATGCTGGAATAATGTTTTCTCAATTGCAATTCATAGCGGATAACACACATGCACGTATCGCCACCACCCACAGCAACTTGTTTGATTGGTCTTTAAGCTGATAAGCCAGGAACATGTATGTTCTTTATTGTGTATTATAAATTATAAGATCATATGATGTACTTCAGTTGGTACATTTTTATGTCTGTTGAATCCCATATGCACCTTTTGGAAAATCATTACCACAACCTAAGTGTTCAAACATTTATTTCATGATAAAAAGTTCCAGTGTACTTTTACATTATAGTCCGATTCTTTATAAAATATGAAAGCTTTCGTCTTTAGCGAACTGTAGTCTCTCTCTCTGATTTTATTTATTTTTTAGTTTATTAATCATTTGTTGTGCTCTGCTCTAAGGGATTAATCTAAAACTTGTCGTTTTTTCATTTGTGTAGGACTGAGGTCTTGAAATCAGATAGAAATTTAGGGATTTAGTCATGGCGATCTTAAGCTTGGTATTGAAGTCTGCAATGGCACCAACAAGCTGCACTATAGTTTACTTCATAGATTACTACAATATTCCAGGTCCTTGGGGACTCTTCCTTCCTGTCGTCTGCTCAGCAGATCTACGACTGGAACTGGAAAAACGGCTGGGATACAAATATGAGCAACTGTCATGGAGGCATGTGGTTCGACCAACAGGTCAACGCCAAGCAGACGATTACCAATGTCCAGGTAAGAGTTTGACCTTGGAGACGTCTGTTATGAAAAGAAGGTATTGTAGACAAAAGGCTCCCTTGCAAGAAGTAATTTTCAGAAAAGTGGGACATGACATTTACTGTTACGAAATCAAGTATGCTTGCAATTGTTCTTATTGCATAACTTTTGCAATATTTTTAGATGCTACAACTTGGAGCGAGGCTATATCACCTGACGTCATCTAGAAGCAGACGACAAGAGCTGATGTCACGTGTTAACCTCACAATGGGCTTTTTAGCGAAGAACTTCGTGATCAATCCTTTAACCTTCCAGATTGCAGACGGCATAAATATTAATAACTGCACGCCAAACCACGTTTATGGTATTACGTGCAACAGTGGCGTTTTTCTCGGTGGCCTTGCAGAACTTTACAAAGCAACAAACCAGACTTCTTTGTTGAACGTAGCCCATATGATTGCCAATGCAACAATGACCTTGTCGTCCAAACACGGCGTTTTGATGGAATATTGCGACTTGAGGAACCAAACATGTGACGACGACGCAAAAATGTTCAAAGGGATATTCGTACGCAATCTACGCTATCTTGCAGACGTTTCTAATCAGGCTCACGCTAAACTTTACAGGGGTTACTTGGCAACGAACATGCGTTCTCTGCTATCAAAATCGATATGTGAGCCAACGGTGAAGAAACCGTGTAACATATCGTATCAAGACGGCCGGCCCTTCCATAATTCCACCGGGCCTGTGTTTGGTACACGTTGGTTTGGCCCCTTCAGTTTCTCTTCCCCTATGCAGGACACGTCAGCTTTGGAGTTGTTAGTCGCCAATATCGCCCAAGGCACACGATGTCATGGCGACGGGTGCGCCTACGACCCTCCCACACCTCCTCCCCGTCCGTTAACTTGTCAAGATCACCCCTGTCCCGCGGACGAGGCGTGCTGCGCGTACAGCGACTACTACACTTGCTGTACACCAGATCAGAAGTGTGTTAAGGGCATCTGTGAATAACGTCACTACCAACTGTGTAAAAATCAGAATCCGTTTTATCGATTGCGCAAATAGTTAAGTTAACGAATGAATAATAGTAAATGATATGAACAAAGGCACGGTTGTATCAAGTGATCATGTGAAGAGAGTTCACGAGGCTTCCACGTTTTTTCTCAAAACATTCCGGAGCCTATAGCTCACCAGAGTAAATTCCTACAAGTTAGGGTTAGCTTGACTATGGGTGTCAAAATCACAAATCAAAATTACTCTTCATAATCGACAAAGCGTGAAAAGTTTCTGAAAATGTGTATTTAATATTACTCTTTGAAATAGAACAGCTGATGTAATAATGCTGTCAACTAAACTGTAAAAATTATATATATAATATATATTTTTTTCACTGAGCAAACGGAATATAAACTCAAAAGCTATGTGGTTAAAGGGATAATAACTCTTTGGAATAACTCGTTTTGGACAAAAAATGGATTTTCCTGGAGTAAACAACAATTTTCCCATACTTACCAATGGTTAATGAATCCATTTTTACACTCAAAGTTAGTCCCTGTTTTTTTTTCTAAAAAGTTTGGTTTTTTTGTTAAAATCTCTTAAGAGATTATAACAGAGTATAGCCACCAATGGAGGTCACGTGCTCTGAAGACAAGCTCAGATATCAGAATAACAGCTATTACTGCCTTTTTTGTGGTAAAACAGAATATATTATATTTCTATGAGTTGTTTACAATGTTTTTACTGTGAAATATAGATCTCATACGAAGAGTTATTATCCCTTTAACTGAACATACTATGTAAGATGTATAATTCTTTGTAAATAAACTTACAAAAAGACACAAACTGGTATTTTTCAGAGAAAACTTTGCATTGAACGATTTTTCACAAAATTCACATGCATTATTTCTACCAATATTGCAACTGTCAATAATATTCTTTATTGTTTTCTCGTAAAAGTCCTTACTAGTATTCTTATAAGAAAAATTCATTACGTTTTGATATTTAAATTGAAATATCTCTTACGAATAGCTTTTTGGGAAATATGAATAAAATGAAATATTACATTTATATTAAACTACTTCCTACATACGATTTCACACAACAAAATTAATATTCAAATGTTAACAAAACACTTACATCCCTCTCCCCCAAGAAAAAGGGTATTAATATCTGTACCTTTGTCAGCATCTATTTAAACAAGGTCTGATTTCTGCACTGAAATCAAATAATATTATAGTCTCCTATAACTTAAACAAGATACAACTGTTTTCTCTGATGCAAAAATAATCAAATTCATATCTAAGGCCTACTACTACGGAGATATCACAATCTAATTACAAACTAAAACAAGTTTCAGAAGTTTTCATATAAAAAAAAAACTTTGTCCTTATTTACCATTACATCAAATGAACTACTTCCAACATACAATTGTGGGCATTCACCTTATCACATCATTTAAACATCATGTTCACAATTACACTGTTCACATGCTTAAATTCTTCTGGAACATCTTACCAACTTTGCAAAATGTCAAGCCAGAAACAAAAAAATGGCCTACATTCCATTCCATGTTTTTTTGTCAATACTCATTGCATTCTTTGCTTCAAATTGACATGTGAAGTTAACAATTGTTGACAGCCTTCAAATTAGTAATATATATAAACATTCTGACTAATGCAATGACAAAATAGTCAAACAAATAAAAAATGAAATAACAAAGGAACAAGCTGTGTTAAGAATTATGAAAAAAAAAGCTTCAGAGCAAAAGTATGTGAAAAGTCACTATTAAATATGAATTGATACAAATCTTCAATATGATGACCAGATTTTGAAAAGAAAAATAATTAAACAACGAAAAAAAAAAAAAAATCAACCAGCACCAATCTGACAAATCAAAATATATTACCTTTTGCAGGTGAATTACAAAACTTCAGTTTATTGGCTTACAAAACAACAAACTATATTAACATGCTTGAGTTGGTCCAGTAATATACATCTACATGCCATCATTCTCGAAAAAAAAAATTCTATGAACATCATGATCTGTGCCAAAGTAAACATTAAATTTTTACTGTAAAAACCCATTACCATGGTGCCATTGAATTCAGCCATATGCAACAAGACTGTAAGAAGATGCTTTGAAAAGAAGCATCAATTGTTAATATTCCATTACATCACACTCAAGAACAAAGGACATACTTATATGGTAGAAAACATCCAAAAATTGTTTTCATTTTAGGCAAGGCAAGAAAATGCTGATCCCTCATCTGCTGGCCTTGGGTGGTAGGAGTCTTCTCGAATAGGAATGAAGTGCTGAAAAGAAAATAATAAATCTCTTAGCTTTAAGTCATATTTAAACTTTAAAAGCAGAAATAAATTCTATTTTATACTTCAGGCTAACAAAAACACATTCGGTATTTTGCAATTTATCAAAATCATAAGTACCAGTACCATAACAAAATCTTAACAAACCATCCATAATTCTGGACTATAAAACAATCAAAAGCTGAAAATATCCATCAAAAGTTAAAATTACAGCTCAATTTTGTAACTAAGTTAATAAAATACCAACTCCTCTGACACACATACCATATCATCTCCTTCTGCCAAAACCAACGCCACAGGGTCATGGCAAGATCGAGGCTGTTGTGGTTGGGGAGAAAACTTGGTCTGGAGACGACATGCGTAAAGGGCGCACTCTTCATCCAGTAGTGCCTCCTGAAAACGCTGTGTTGCGCCAGTCACCAGGACACCAGCAAGCCTAGACCTACCAGTGCCGAAACCTGCAGTCCGTGGTACAGGCAAGGAGGGAGATGTCTTCTGTCGATCTTGTCCACATTCTGTTGAGCTGTGAAAACTTCTTTTGCTTGTGGTGAGTGATGTCTCTGTAGAATCCAAGTCTTCAGAGACAACAACTTGCACATCAGAATCCCTGGCTTGTGGACTGTCCCCTCTGCCTTGCAAGGGCACCATGGATTGGCCAGAGGAAAATTGTATTGACGTCTCATCAGAAATGCCATTACCACTAAGCCGAATTCCATTTTCCTGTGTATTAGTATCACCCATATTCCAAACCTTCACCGCACTGTTCCTACTAAACGCTGTAGCATGCTGTTCGCTCACCATTACACCACCACCATCGCGTCTCAGCAACACAGGTGACTGGTCCAGATCTGGGTATAACACAGGCGACTCTCCAGGTGACGCCGACACCACCTCTGGTGTGACAACCTTTGCACCTGAACTGGCCCCCATCCCCCCTCTCATGGCCAGTGGGGTCATAATGGGAGGTCGAAGATCAACTCCCGAGGAAGCTGAGGTCAAGGTGACTGGTCTGGGAACTGACATGGATAACCGGTTGAACCTGGACATGATATTGGTCTCTCCTGCTATCTCTGGTCTTGGTGTCTGAATGGTTCCTGGCATGGAAGACAGAAATGGCTGCAGTCTTGCCAGTTCTCTAGGCTGGGAACTAGTTTGTCCTTTCTGCTGATCAGAGGAAACAGATTGTTGTGGTTTTGAACCCAGTGTTGGTTTCAGAGTAGGCTCCACCATAGTGTCAGTCTCAAACTGCCTGCTATGCAATGTCCCTGTATGTAAAACCTGGTGTGGCACATCTGATAAAGCCGCCGAAGGAGACTTTGTCATAGAAATGTGAGTTTGATCACTAAATTGTTGTGTCATCTGTTTGAAAGATGTAGCAACATTCTGCAGACTTTCCACCATGGTTCTATCTGTCTGTGAGGGTACTGTTGACTGTGTAGTGCAAGGTACTGTGGAGCAACTTTTGCATGAGACAGTCAATTCTGATGCCCCGTCTGGGACTACATTATTCATCAAATCTAGTCCAGTAAAAGCACTGTTTGCTGTCTGTATAAGCGGTCTTTGCCCAACAGTCAATTCACCAGGATTCAACTCCACATGGGCAGTCTTTGCTGCATCCCCACCAGTGGCTAACACCTGAGAAGCAATTTGCTTTTCATTATGTTGAATGAAGCACTGATTTTCATCTACTGATGGCTGGAACGGATACTGTTGGGTATGAGTCCGACCCACCTTTTGCTGCTCTTGGCTATACATAAAGTTATGATGTACTGACTGAAGATTTGTGGATGATGGCTGCTGATGTTGATGCACTGTTGACTGTTGTTGCTGATGTTGACTTTGTTGCAGAAGAGACTGATGTTGCATCTGCTGCTGTGAACCATGTTGGGGAAATTGTCTTTGTTGATATTGTAAAGTTATAACCCCTTGTTGTGGCTGCCCTGAAATTTGCTGATTAAGTCTTGGTAATTGTTCAAAATATTGTTGCTGTTGCTGTGTTGTGGGGTGTTGACCTGGTATTGGCAATTGTTGACTGGCTGTTGACAACTGTAGCTGTTGTGACTGCTGATGCTGTTGCACTGCTAGCATGTGCTGTAACTGCTGTTGGAACTTGAGCAACTCTTCCTGTTGTTTCTTCACCATCTCTAACTGCTTCCATATGTACTTGGCACTCTTGCTCCCACCTCCAGTTCCACTCTGCCTAGCTGACTGCTGCAACATCCGGGCACAGGTCTCCAATTCCTCAAACTGCTCTTCAGAGTCTCTGATGCTCTGATTTAGGTCATCCAGAGCCAAGTGACCACCATGTGACCCATACATGCCACTTCCCTGGGTATTTGACACCGTTTCTTCACAGGGGATGCCCATGGCCATTTTGGAATCACAGGGTTGCTTGGCTGGTTGATCTGAGTACAAAAACTGAGGTTGGTATACTGATGCCTGTCCTGGCTGTTGTGTACTTCCAACGGCTCCTGGCNCCCCTGATCCCATTAAGCATTCCAGCCGCGTTCTCAACGGGTTCACCTCCCTCCATCACATAAATATAAAAACGTTTACAACTTGAAGGAAACATCTGAAAAGAACTTGACTGCGGCTTAGTACAGTTTACACACTTATGAATTTGGATCAGTTTTGGTCTGGGTCCGTTTTCCGGGCAGAGAGAAATGATGCTTGAGCGGCCATCACAGGACTGAACTGTCACAACGGTTAGAAAAAGTTGATTACGTCATATACTTCTGAATCGGAACTAATTATATAAAGCGCTGGAGAAATCTGTCGGTGTAGGCCAGTGGTAATCAAGTATTGGCAGTTTCTTAAGCCGACTCAGCTCGAAGCAAAGAACACATATCTCAACAAAGACACACATTCGGTTACTCAATAAGTCAAATAGCAAAGGGGATTGTACAAACTAAGGGGCCAAATACCTCCAGACCTCTCAC